GGGGGGGCGTGGCGGGCTGTTCACCCGAAGCCCAGAAAATTGGCATAATGCACCTGGTTGCGATTCGCTGCCACACTCTACTCAAATGCACATCAAAAGAACTTCCTTCCACTGGTTGATTCGTTTGTCGCTTAGGTGGCATAGCAACGTCGCAGCTGCGCCTGTGGCTGACTGGGAGTCACCTCCACCGCTTCGTCAGGCATGACTGCTGCAGTCGCCTTGAAAAAATCACAAACAGGTGGTCTGTGCAAGAGAGTTGTCGACCATATCAACTGAAGTGGGCTACCCTTCGGGCATGTGCAAGTTCCCTTTGCAAGAACATATGCTTGGCTTGGGAGACTGCGCTTCCTTGTCCGTTCTTTCCCATCACCAAATGTCTTGGGCATGGCTGTTTCAATATCAAATCTGAAGACATCTAAAGACAAGACGTGCCTGGGGCTGATAGGAAAACACTTCCTCTGGTTCATCAGGCATCATTGCTGCAGCCTCACAATGCAAATCATGAAGATACAAGAAGAGCGCACGGTAGCCCCCAGTATTCAGCCTTGACCCCTTGTCCCTAATAATAAAGCTTTCACCTTAAGCCAATGTATTTCCTGAACACAATGGGACTCTGGCGATTCTCCTAAATGCATTGAACTAGCAAGGAATAACTTGCTGTAAGTGACTTTTGGGTTCCAGCACCTTGTCATTGGAATATATTACAGTATTCTAGTCACTCCACTCTACGTCGTGTAAAGAACGGCGGTGTGGTTCAGGGGGGCATGGTGGGCTGTTCACCTGAAGCCCAGAAAATTGGCATAATGCATCTGATTGCGATTCACTGCCATCCTCTACAATCAAATAGGCGCGCCATAGACGCCCCTTCGACCACTTGATCTTGTTTGTCACTCAGGTAGCAAAGCAGCATTGCAGCTGCGCCTGCGGCTGACTGGGAGTTACCTCCACCGGTTCGTCAGGCATGACTGCTGCAGCAGCCTGACTCCACGGGCTCCAGTGTCAACCGCTGAACAAGCGCAACGCTTCTATGGTGAGACCATGGGGTCAGAATTTTCCGGGAACATCTGCAGCTTTCGATTCACTGAAACTGGCCAAACTGGTTGAAAGACATCAAATGCGGAACCTTCCACAACTTGCCAATCAGATGGCACCCCAACGGCCCTTCAGTAGCTTGGAATTAGGAGCACACAGAGTTGAACGAAGTTTATTGTTCCTAGTAGTAAGGCACTTGTTACTACTAGCGAGGCACTTGTTACTCATAGCATGACAATTCACCATGAATCTGAGAAAAAGCCACTGTCCGTCCACTGAACCCTTGCTGTGATGCAATCTGTGAAAGCTTTCTTTCTGGTCCCAACTTCAACATGCAGCAGCAAACCACTGTCTGAAAGACTTTGGAAAATTCACACCGTGTCATGAAGAAGCTGCCGCAGGTTCAACATCGGTCTTCACAACAAAGAAAACATGATCTTCATCTTCCTCTCTTCTGTCCATCGGTCTGCAAGATAGCAACATCTGTGTTGTCCACACAAGCTCGGCACAGTTTTCACAAGCATTCGTTGAGAAACTACACATGCGGAATACATGATAAGGGCTTGTGGTCAAACGGCGTAACTGCCGTTACGAGACCAGCTTTCATCCCCCTACGGGACGAAGGGTCTTAACTTCTTGCTTCTTTCCCGCCTACCAGTTGAGCCGCTGTTCCTATCTGCTCAAAATGTACCTAGAAATCCCCATGCATGGGTGAAGTCTCATCAGCTGGAAGACACGCCAAAACAACATCATCTGCTTGGTGCTTTGTTCCTCATCAACTGAACACCCAACATCTTCCTAGTCCAAAGTCAACCGTGGTTTGGGAAGGTCCTATTGACCATACCCTTCGGCCTTGGCATGCGAAGAAGTCAAATTAAATACAGGAATTATTGAATCTGATGTGTCGTTGATCCGTCTATATATACATCTTTTATCCCAACAACCAATCCAATACCAAAAAAAAAAGCAAAAAGCACACCCAACGAAGGACCATGTCCTTTCCTTTTCGCCCAATGGCGCCGTGGCCGTCGTGGTTTCACCGGACATCTCCTCCGCCCCGGGTGCTGCATGGCCTCCTCCAGCGCCTCGCGGCGTTGCGGTTTTGGGCAACGGATCGACTCAGTGTGGCATCCTCTCCTGGTGCTTTTTTGCATGGAAGTATCGAAGTGAACAAACCCCTCTGGTCTTATTTTTTGAGAAAGGAGTCGTTCCAAGTGCAAGACAACACCACTTCCATGTTTGCTTGATCAAAAGGAAATCATCCTTGAGTGCAGAGAGGAGATCAAATGTCTCACATATAGGGAAAAATGTCCGAGTGGTTTCTGCACCAGCTTACTTCGGTTGGACCCCTCAGTCCTTTAGCTTGGACAACTTTGAAAAGCTCCTCTGGCTCAACCAAGTGATTCAATGAGTACTGCGAATGTATTCAAGCTGGGTCCCTGATCGTGATACACGAGCTACATATATCTATCCTTTGATGGATGGGCATCACTATAGATGTTTGTGCTGGCGTCACTGGTGTGCAAACACTGTTGGCAACAACTGTGTATCTGATGAGAACCCAAAATAACTGCAACTGCAACACGTCTTTTAATCCGCAATCGTTGAAGTTGGGCCGTTGGCCGACGCGCAAAAATCAAATTCGCAACAACTTGTTGCCGGTGGCGTGGGTGCGGATGACATTCCCATCACGTCTGCCATCTTTGTAATCACCCTCCTCCTTGTCACCATTGGCGTAGGCATAGATGAAATGCCCATTAAGTTTGCCATCCTTGACATTGCACTCACAGCTATCGCCGTTGGCAAAGGTCCAGGACTCATGCCCATTGTGCTTGCCATCCTTGACATTGCGCTCACACTTATCTCCATTGGCAAAGGTTATGATTTCGTGCCCATTTGGCTTGTTGTCCTTCACATCACTTTCAATCTCATCACCATTGGCAAAGGTCAACTTGGCATGCCCAGTTCCACTCTGGACATCACCCTCAAGCTTATTGCCATTGGCGAAGTTGTGGATGAAATGCTCTCTTCCATCAATGATATCAACCTCAAACTTGTCGCCATTAGCGCCAGAGTAAGTGAAATGATCACCCACAGCTCCATAAACCATGCCTGGACGCAACGCCACCAACGTGCTGACGACCAAGGCTGCCAACGGCGCAGCAAGGCCCCGCTTGGACATCCTCCGTCGAGTGCCTCTCAAATCCATGATCACGGAGCTTGATTTGTCGCACCGGACCAGCAAAATCGGGAAAAAGCTGCAAGGATATCATCAAAAGAACGAGTTTTTTGGCCGGCTGTTCAGAACGATGTGTGTCTGTGTGTGTGTGTGCGTGTGTTCAAGCTCTACACATCTGGATCTCCTAGTCCCTTGACAATGGAAAAAATAAACAAAGAACCTGGAGGGGCAAGCAACGCCAATTCACACCAGTTAGGTTGCCAACCTTACGGGCCAGCAGAGCGAGCAGCTACTTTGGAAGTGGGACGGATACTCAAGATTTGAGTGCTTCAGACTTGCAGGGCAGGTGATCCTCAACTCCGGGAAATTCAAAGCGGTTTTGGGGGGTCGGAAGAAAGGTCTGTAGTTTGCCAATAGTTCAATCTTGACCAGCGGGTCGCGCGACGCAGTGGGTCCCATTCCCCGGTGCATGGCGTGCACGGCGCGGCGTGCCGCGCGCCGCGGGCACGGTGGTGTGGACCCAAAGGTTGACCAACCTCGGGGAGACATGTAGCATGTGGCCGCGTGCAGACCATCTTCCTGCAAAGAGGAAGTAAGTGTGGTTAACTTGGTTCGAAGAATGTGTAATATCCTTTGGGACTTTGGGATTCTACCAGTTGTTCAATCTTGCTCAAACTGGGCTTCACCGCGAGATGCCCCACCCAAAGGGCTTCAGTACTGTCTGGTAGTGCTTCGCAAACACTTCGCAACACTTCGCAACCCGCCTCATGATGTCCATTGGCCATCGGCACCCGCCCGGCGGTTCGCGGTTCGGGGACCTCAACCAGGAGAGGAATGCTTTGGCGGTTTTGGGTGGTGAGAGAATGACATTCCAGGCGATGAAAGGCGACCCACCAGGGTTAGTATTAAAGCCATTTGTGCCTTCTTAAAGAGTTCAAAGCCATTTGTGGGGTCTTCTTAGTGCGAAATTTGAAGATTCAAATCTGTTGAGATCGGGCACCCGTTGCAACCTGCACACACACAGTGCCCGTTTCAGGCTGGAGTTGCCGTGTTGGGGTAGCTGGATGTAGCGCGCTGCTCCAGTTCGTGAGTTCTGAAGTGTCCTGTGAACATTCTATATGTGAAATACCTTTTGCAGGGGCATGAATTATATACAGAGATGCAATAGGCTGTTCAAGTACAGTTTCGATAAACACCTGAACAGACTAGACACCTATCGCCTATCGCATAAAAGAAAAGTCCCTGAAGATTCAGATGAAAATATTCGTCCGCCGCTTCCACCCCTCTGGCCTCTTCTGCTGGACACGAGGCATCCATCTGCGGCTCCTGAGAAGATCCAGCAGAGTGAAAGGGATGAATTGGCTGCAGTAGTAGTAACAAGAAGCTACTAGGAACAAGTGCATCGCTACTAGTAACAAGTGCCTTACTAGTAGTAACAAGAAGCAGCTCAAAACCGGAGAAGCCTGGTTGACCGATCGATACTTGCGTCTTCGAGTTCAGCACCCGATGGCCCGGTGTTGGTATCCAAGTCGATACACCCATTCGAGATCCCAAGGTTTAAAAGGACAAAGAGGACACAACACCGAACACCAAAAGTACCGAACCCCAAAAAGGAACCCAAGAACCGACGACCAGGCAGGTCACCCAGGTGAAACGGGAGGGGCTCCAGGTCTTGACTCACAGCCAATTAGATCCTTTTCCCAGGGATGCAGTGACCACAAGTGTCGGGTACTCGGACCAGGAAGTGCTTCAGCCGGGTCATTCTTGGCGGTTGGGTGGCAGTCCGCAGGATAGACAGAGCTCTGGGTGCCCAGAGCAATTGCTTCCCCCCAAAAGGTAATGTAGACTCTTGATCAATAAACCCACCCCTATGAAGACGTTTCTCAATCCTAGTGGGGGGTTAATTGCTAATCAAGAGTTTACAATAAACTCACCTGGTGGAAAGACGTGGAAGCTAATGTTCCAAAGTGGTTCTTCCCCACGTATGTCACGTGCGTCACATGCCCCCTGTTTTTGGGCACCACGTAGGCGCTTGACCGATTGCTTCTCATCGAGTCAGGTGAGACGGGCCGCAGTTCTGATCGGACCTCTTGGGATGGGACGCCGTTTCGTTTCGCCTCGTCTCAAAGAAGTGTTCATCGGTCGCTGCGAAGCGCAGTGGAAAACGCGGCAAGAAACGGTTGCTTGGCATGTCTCAAAAACTGCTTTTCATCTTCGAAAGGGTGGAACTGATGGGGGTCCTCACATTCCGCACATTGGCACACATCCAAATCTGGCCCCCTCATATTATACGGAATCAGTCAGTCTGCTTCACAAGGTGAGAGGATTGCGCTTGCACTTTCCGTATGCATGGATCTCCAAATGCCCGAGTTTTTGGAGGTCTTTGTTGTAATGCAGTCGATGTCTTCCACCAACGGCTGGATCCTCCTATCAGATCGCTTTGATCCATCACCAGCTCCTAGTGCCTTCCCTCACCTCATGCCATTCTCCCCTGAAGTGGCGCTGTTTTCAGCCCAACCCAACCAATCTCTGTTTTTCTGACACCGATCCAAAACTCAAAAGGGTCCAGTCATGAGATGACCAAACAACCCCGTAGGCCCGTTGGTGTTGATCTTTGATCCCCTTCTGAGTTCTCCATCACCTCGAACGAAGGAAACTCGAAAGAGAACGAGGAAACCGCGACCCCCTTGGGAGGTCCAATCAGCGGCAGGCCAACTGCCTATGGCAGTCGCAAGTAAATGCCAGCGAGCCAGCGCCTTCTGTCTGGAGGGAAGGATGCATCATGATATATCATGGATACATAAATGGCCAAGTTATGTGACTCACCGGGAAAAGTTAGACTCTTCTTCAAGTGCGTTGATCTTCGATTTAGCTGTGGAACATAGGTGTAGAATAGTCTGATCGTTTTCTCCTGGAGACCATGCAGGGGTGAAAGAGCGACGTACCCACGATTCAACTGGGTGTGGGTGGAACATTTGAAAATGAGGCCCCCTAAACCGTTGCCCCAGGGCACCTTTAGTAGTTAGGTCCTACTCACGGCTCATGTTCTTCCTCAGGTGATCATGCAAACAACCAGCTAGAGGTATGCAGGCCAGTGAATGTTATCTTTCCCTCCGGTGGCTCGCGCTTCTTTTTTCATCACTCGACCGGGAACCGCAGCGGAAAACAGTTGCTCACTGAGATTTCAGTCGTTGGCCCCATGTTTCTCCGGTCGTCCGCCAGGTGGAAAAAACAAGCATAACAAAACTAGACAAATCACAAATCATAGTATGCCAAGAGATTCTTGTTTACAAAAAACAATATTGCTAAACCAACAACTGCCTCTGAATCAGAAGGATCATAGCCCCTTCCTGTGGAAAGCCCCTCTTCTCTTCCGTGAGGAGACCCAAACTGAACACCCTATTCAGTCAGTGAGAACTCCACCCACATTGACCGGTATTTCATTGCCAAAATAACCTTCTCCCGTCCCGTCTATATTTGGGCCTTACTCCATCAACTTGCAAGAGGTTCATCAATCCAAGCTCATCCATATGACCTTCCAGTTTCCACGGGAGCGGCGAAACAAAATCAGCGTAAACCCCAGTCATAATGTTGTAGAAGGGAAATCAATTGTCCATTCGGATGTCCTTTTGCTTTTGGCCGTAGCCGGAGCTTTCCACTGTCATCGTTCCTCTTCAGTCTGACCCTCGGTTTTACTGGCCAGGACTCATGTAGTTGTTCCGCCTTCGGTAGAAGCCTCAGTTTTGCCACAGAAAGAGAATTTGGACCGGTCCCACTCCGAAGAAAATGTCACGAGAAAAGCTGTGTTGAAATAGCAATTCCCAAAGGGCTGACATAGAACCTGACCCCCAAATTCCATTTTCTATATAATCAGGTCGAAGTTACCTTTTTCCACTGGATATCCAGGCATGTGCAGCAGGAAAAGCTTCAAAAGTCTGGCTATAGTGCACCAAAATTGACATAAGTGGACAGGCAAACAGCAAACCCTCATTTAATGACTTAGAAAATACTAGAAGTAAACCTTGCATGTCATATCTATCTGATTTTGCATGACATGGTGATAGCTGTATGCTGAGGGTCCCTTTTTCTCTAACTTCTTGCCATCCGGGAACACTCATGATCCGGCGGCAGCAAGTCGTCGCTGCGGCCCAGCTCCAGCATGGCAATATCTCAGCCGCTGGGATGGATGAGGCTTTCGCAAGGATTCTTGCTACTAGTAGCGATGCCGTTACTAGTAGCGATACACTTGTTACTAGTAGTCATTGTTTCAGAAGAGAAGGATTTGAAGGTGGCAGTCATTGTGGCTGGGGTGCCATCTCAGGTCTGTAGGCTGGAAGCAACGGTCCTTGGAAGAGTCATGTGACGCAAAAACAAAGGGCATCGCTATTAATTAGTAGCAAGGACGCTACTAGGGGCTCCTGGCCTTACTACTACGAGCATTCTTGCTACTAGTAACAAGAGTCTCAGGGGAATAGAATCCATTCACCTCTCGGTCGCATTACCGGACTTGTGGTCGCGCTCTTCCCGGACCATATTTCGATCAATCAGAAAAGTTACTAATGGACGAGCTCCTGTACCAACATGCACCAACTAGAGTTCAACAGTCTGACTGAAATTCAGTGGATGCTAATGGAAATAATAAGTCCTTCTTTTCTATGTTTTCTGTGGAAGAAGAATGTTCATAGGCACTGGAAGGAGGTATCGCCTGAAATCTCGAACAGTGGCGCCACTTTTCAGATGATGATCTCTTTTCATCCCAATCTGCAAACACACCCACCAGACTCACCACACATCTTCACCCCGAAAAACGGCCCAAACCCGCGACCGCTCGCGGATCCAAGCTCGCGTGTCGCGCTACGCTCGCGTCGCGTTTCGCCGAGCGGCTCATCAAGGGCGTGGAGTTGGTTCGCTTGGGCGCGAACTCCGAGACGTAACCTGTGGGGAGACGACGCAAACGACGGACCCGGGGGGCACCGCCTCCGGTGGGGACGACCAAGTCAGAACTGACAGGCGAAGCGGATGTGTGTGAGGCAAATCCGATCTTACAACCTCCAATCCAACTACCATGTAACTTGTCCCAATGTTGGGGAAGTTACAGTATATAACTTACAGGGGATTTCGAGGGGGTGGACAACGGAATGCAGATATGGAGGGCTGGGGTTAGAACCGAGTGACCCTGCGATACACCAATTTAATTGTTTTGTTTCGTACGCAGGTCTTAGGTTGATAGACCCCTCCCTTTAGGCCTTTAGGCCTGAACAGGGGACACTTGTATGGGGGTCCCCTCATTTGGGCGGTTTTCCAATCAGCCGCCTAACATGGACTTCTTGGGCATTGGCTCATGCCCAAATCTCACAGACGCAACATGTAAGCTCACATATATCTGAAAATCCTTCAACTTCTACGAGACAGATCCCAGAATTTGGGGACAAACTCATTCTGAGACAAGCCCCTAGATCCTCTAGGCTCCAGAATTGTGATCGTGTCCTTCTATTTGGGAAAATCTGACGGGCTTCCCTCGACTCTTCCCTGTCATCGCTGCAGCTGAGGAACTGCTCTTCCTCAGGCATCATGGGGAAACAGCAACGTCTGAAAAATTAAAACTTTTGGATGCTTTTGGAGAGATTGGCTTCTCTTCCCTCCCTACCAGCCCTAAAAATCGCTGGCTTAAGCTAGACACCCGTGCAATGGCGTCAATAATTCACTTGGAGATGTCCTGAAATTGGTGAACTTCGGTCACACATTATTCGGGTCCAAGTCAGGAACCTGGAAGATATAATCCGCAGGATGGGACACTATGGATCTTAACCTTCCAATGAACAGCTGACAGCAATAAGGTTTCACATTGAGCTACAACTTCACAGCTGGTCACCCAAACTTCCCCAGTACCACGAGAGTTCTGAGTTTGACCATTTTCCCCAGAACCACCGGATATGTTTTACACTCCAAGATTTCAAGAAACATGGAATGGTTCTCTCAACGTTTTCTCAACCACTGCAGCTTTCGACATGTCTCGGGTTTCAAACGCCCCCCTGAGCTCCGTGTCGATCCCACTCAGGGTCGATGAATTCTGCCTTTTTCGCACGAACGAAGGACCGCGTCGTTTTTCTGCGGTGCCAAGTGGCTCTGGAGGACCTTCCCACTTGGAGATGAAGCCAAGATTTGGCTTGGGAAGCAGGATGGTCCCTGGCACAGCGACTGGTCATCTCCAGAACTCCAAGAGGTTTCAACCGTGTTTAAGGTAGTTTAAGGGGAGAACATCATTACTGAGATCATCCAGGTTGCATGTTCCATTCCTCCCGCAGCTGGGAATCACTTTGCATCTTGGATAGTTTTGCTCTGAACTCAAAAATCATGGTGCCTGCTTTGGCCAGGTCTTGCGGATGCGCGTGGAAGCTGACCTCGATTCACAGATGAGAGCGGTGGGAATCAGCCCTTGAAGATGAGGAATGTAAGCCCTTCAAGATCGGCTGCAAATTCCTGACAGGTACAGAAGTGTGCCGGAGGATACTGAATGGTTACGATGGCAACTTTCAGGAAGGTGGGACAAAGGACGTGCAGATCATCTGACCTAGGGGGATGATGCTCTGAGTACAGACGGACGGTTCTAAAGGAGCCAACGTTGTGATCATTGGAAGCCCTTGGGACGCGTTTGTTGAAGGTCTGCTACGTGCTGCATAATTGGGAATACGCCCCAGGTCAAGGTTTGCAAGTAGAAGTGAACTGCGCAAAAATGGTTTCTTGTTGCAAACAATCTTTACCGCTGCAATACAATGGAGCACTGGCGTTTTTGGGGTTAATTACAAGTAGAAGTGAAGCCCCAAAGACAGCATCATCTCACATCTCCTTCTCACGTGGTTTCTCTATCACTGTTCCGGCATGGTTAGCATGCCCAACACTGCAAATCCTCTCGCAACCGAGCGGCGTGTGATAGGGGACGAGTCTCTAGGAGGTCAGTCATCCCTGGCTACAAGGGGAAACGAGGCGCTGGAGGCCACCGCGTTAATGGCAAAGATCCAAAATATGAACAGATTCTCACTATGAATTGTCCGAACCATTTCAATATAAATAGTAAATAGATAGTTAAAACACAACACTCCGGAAACTAAAGTAAAACTATGAATATGATTTTATCCTGATAAGGCAGTGGCAAATATCATGCAGTAACTAGGAACGTTTAAGCCGTGCCGCTGTGGACAAGTCAGACTCTCAAACTATTGTAGTCTTCCTCCAAAGCGTGGAACTCACCACTCAAGGCGATTCTTAACAATTAGCTTGTACAGAGTGAAGACACATTCTTCCTGGCTCTATTTACCCCTCTCTCTCTCTCTCTTTCTCCCCCTCTCGTGCCACTTGTGGGCACGAGCTTTTGCTATCACTCAAGCCCAGCAGTAAATGCCAACGATGTCACAGCTTTCTCTCCTCTCGCTTCGCCTGGCCATCTTCCACGCCCTGCCGCCGCGCCTGTGATGGTGCGGGTCCGGCCGCTTTTGGGCTTGGCGCTCTTCATCTTCGCGGATTTCAAGCGATCCCCCCGGTAGCCTCAGCGCTCGTGGTGTCTTTGTCAGACGAAGAGATGAAACGCTGCCCAGAGAGCGCGCATCGAATTTGCAGCTAAGAGTCCTGTGAAGGCATCCTGAGAACTGGGACTGGGATGGGCCAAGCATGGTGGGTCGCTTTGTCAAATCCACTAAACGCCGTTAGGACGGCTCCAACATGCTGTCGTCAGCAGGTTCCGAACGGGCGTTCTACAGGAAACGAACTGTGACATCTTTGTCCATCAACTGGGAGATATAATCAATTGGTGAGGACTCCGGCTTGACCAACCACCAGAAATCACCAAAAATCAGCGCCCATCACGGGAAAACTACGAAACACAGTCATGCATCCATCCCAAAAAAGAGCTCTTGCCCTGGCAACGGCCAGTGCGGAAACACCCACAGGCGAGTGAAGGGCCACCGCGCCTGATAGGAGGTGTTCCCATTGATCTCCGCTTCGCTGGTGGCGGCGCCGCCCTTCCAGCCGGCCTTGAAGCTGGCCGCCAGCATGGCGTTCACCTCGCGTTTGACGCGGCGAAACGGTGCCGCAACTCCGGTGGCGGCGCATGGGATCTGTGGGGGCCACGAGCCTGGTTTTGTTGGAGGGTTCTTGCAGAATTGGCGCTTGTGGTGGGGTGGTTGGCCGAAAACCAAAAAAGGCCTTGGAATCGTTTCGAGGGACCGTTGGTCGCAGCGATCTAGCGGATCTACCAGTAGCAGGGGTCCCTGTCTTTCAAGTGACGGATGTAAGAAACGACATGATCTGAAAACAACTGGGGAGAGAGTGCAAATTGCAAAGCAAACTTGTTCGTTGTTCTCCAGGAGCTTTAAACAATATTACGTATACAGCAGATCGAACCCCACCAAGTAAAAACTGAACAAACATGAACAAACTGAACAGCAGTACAACATGACTTATGAGCGGCACCCCGCCCACGTTCCACCCCCTTTCCCACTGTTGGCTGTCCCATGCCTTGTTGTCCCCGAGCGGATGCGGGGTGAACTCTCGGCGCGAGCTGACAGCACTCCAATCCAACAGAGGAGCCTCAGGTGCCGCCAGGCACAAACAAGAAGGTACCAAACCCGAGGAATAGAGCTGTTCAACTGGGGCAAGGAGCCTTTGCACGTGATGCCTTTTTTTAATGGAGATCAAACTCCATTGCGATTCACGAGAACCTGCCCTGCAGAAGCAGAAGAAACACTCAACACTCGGTAAGTGCGGCAGAGTGGCGGTGCTCTTCTGGAATTTCATGTAGGGCGACTCCTCAAGGGACTCATCCAACAAGAATGCTACTAGGGGCTCCTGGCCTTACTACTAGAAACAAGAAGCTACTAGTTACTAGGGGCTCCTGGCCTTACTACTCACACTGCTTGCGGTCTGTCCATGCCGCTTCCCATGACCCTTCGTCAAGGTGACGGGTGTCAGGGAGTCTGGTCAGTATCTTGTTGTAAGATATGAGCACTACTGTACAAAGTGAACCAAAACGGATCGACTACCTATGTGAGACCGAATATCCGCGCTTGCTGAAAGACCTGTGTGGCCACGGGCCTCAAGATAAGTAAATTCCTAATTGGGTGCAGCTGGAATAGGCACGGACGAAAGATCACCATGCTTGTTCCAGACTTTACGAAGATTCCTGCGGTATAGGAAAGCCTGATCGAATGTCAGTGGGGCGGCGACATCTGTTGTGAAGATCGGTGAGACGTGTCCCATGGGTACCAAACCATCCGGGTGATAAGGTGGTTTGCAATGCAGATCAGTGGTATACTGAAGTAGAGTCTTCTGGACAGCTTTAGGATTTGGTAATTCAGGTCGGAGAGGGAAACCTCCAGTATACTGAGGACCCCAGCCAATCTGGGCAAGGCTGCGAGAGCCCTGCTTGGAGTAGTGCGGAATGAGTGGTGTACTGGTATAGCCCTGGAGATAGAGCACGATTGTCCTGAATGCTTCGGCCTGTTCACGAAGGGAACGCTTATGGATTGGGAGAGCCAGTACTCTCGCATCTTGCCAATGGATTGGTTGTGCACGTTGATTGTCCGCCAACCGAAGCCAGGTGGGGAATTGGATTCCCGTATTGACTATGAATGCAAGGGCCAATTCATGCCAGGTAATACCTGCAAGAAGATGAGGATCTGTGTGATCAATGTCTGATTTAGGCCATTTTAGCGCAGCGCAAAACTGAAGGACCAAGTCTGCATATTGGTTGCCCCAGACACAGGCAGTAAGGAATGCAGGGTGAATATCTGGCTGAAATACTTGAAAAGGAGGCGAAACAGTGTAGCTTTCCCTAAGCCGTAGCAAAGTACTCCAATCAGAACTGTCATCATGATGACTTTGGGCACCATGTAGGTGTGGTTCTCGCTGTTTGACCTGAACATGGGATCGATTGAGGTCAGCAAGGTATTTAAGGATGCATTTGGTTTGTCGATATTGGTCTTCATGCCATACGGTAGCACGTTGAACTATTTTGTCAACGACTTCATGATCTGTAAGTCTGGCGCGCACTGCGGCGTGGTCAGCCCAAAAATTGCCTAGAGCATCATCTCTTTCAGGTCCCGGAGGCAAATTTTCGATGGTTTGATGTGATCGCACTTTACGAAGCAAGAATTGTGAGGGGACCCAACTCTTTGCGATCAGGTTCAAAAGGTCCGCATTGGCAAGGTGGTGCCATGACGGAGTACCAGTAAGCTGCGTTACCTGTTGGATGGCATTAATGGCATACTGAGAATCAGTAGTAATGATGACTTGGTGGGGCCACTGATGGCTGGAGGCATGCTGTACAATCCAAGCAATGGCAGCTAGTTCAGCCCGAGCGATTGATTGGGTACCTTGAACATGTTGAATTTTGATGGTTAAGAACGGGGTGGTGTCAGAGTCCGGCCGAAACTGGACAACGGACCATGCTGCTCGCCTGGTCTCGGTCTGCAGAGGGGTATCGGCTGAGCCATCAGTATAGAAAAAGAGGACATTGTCCTGGAGATAGATCGGGGTGTGTTCCGTGGGATGTCCCCGATATGCAAACAATTGACGCAAGGTTGCGATATCTGGAAATGACACTGGAAGGGGCATCCACAACTTATGTGGAGAGCTGGTCAGGTAGGTAATTGCCTGTGGGTGATGCTGCCTGACATGGTGAAATGCCGGGCAATGCAGTTGTTGATGTTCATGGGTATCGGGCTGACCACAAAAGGAACAGTTAGGGCTCTCAGTAGACGTCCACAGTGCTTTAACTGCCCCCACCTGGTAACCTGCTGTAAGGTTATAGGCGACCTGGCGGATATCAGTTCGAGACATGGACCGAAGGACCCGGGATAGGATTTTAAAGTCAAAAGGGACTGATGGTACTCCCTTACGATGACAAATTTGTCGGTGGAGATAATATGTCCATGCTTGTCGAAGGGTCTGACGGATCTGCTTGAGGGCATCATGCCGGATAGATACTGAGAGATAGCCATCAAGGGTGAGACGCCCGTCAAGAGTCAAGGACCACCCAACTAAATTTAAATAGCGTGCTAGCGCTCCGGCGGGGCCCACGGCTGGTCCGGTATGATTGATGACAGCCTGCAAGTAATCTTGCGCCATTAACGAGTTGGAATGAAACAGGCGGCGCAGGAAGGTCAGCGCAGTGGATATGACATAGAGCAGAGGGTCTTGAAGTTGGGGGCTGAAAGCATGGACCGCTAGCCAACTGGAGATCTGAGATTCGGGTCCAATAAGCGCAGTGGCTGCTTCACGGCGAAGTGTGCGGAAGTGCTTCTCGCCCACAACCTGATGTTCTGCTCCAAAGAATGCATGTGGCCACACGGCGGTTTGAATAAAGCGCGCCTTCTGAAGGATATCTGTGCGAAAAAAACGAATACGTTTGCACCGTTGAATTGCACTATTGATCTTGGTCTTGAGGTGCCCTAAAGTGATGTGATTGATATAGTGTGTCATGCATCCTAAATCCTTAGTGGAGTTGAGGATGGAGACTTGATTCAGGTGATGGGATTCTAGCTGGAAGAAATGCTTCCACTCTTCCCGTGCGTCAGTTGTGGCCCCCCATGCCCAGGACTTTGCAAAATCAATTTGCATGCGCAGAGCTTCAACCAAGTGCTGAATTTTCCGAAAAGCAACGATGTTATCACGCTGACTTGTAGTAAGATATGACCAATTATCAGCGTATGCATATGGATAAACACTGGGAGATTGGAGTGTCCAGTAAAACGCGGATGACACAACCAGCATGGCGCAAACAGATAGACTGTCACCTTCAGGAACCCCGGTGGTCATGGTAATCGTTGGTCCTACTGCCTTATTTACCTGGAGTCGCCTTGTCATTTTTTTGAGATTAGTAAACCACAAGCGAACTGAATCCGGCGGCGCTCCATGATACACAAAGAGATGATATAAGACTCTTCTTGGCAACAGGTTAAATGCTTTGACAAGATCTAATGTGAATCCTCGCCAGGGTAGTGATCTTTTCTTGGCGGATTCTATTTGAAACTGTTGTTGGAACGTAATGTCTTGTACGCCACGTAGGGGCAACCCCCCGGATATTGCACTAGGCCAGGCGGATGCCCAGTGGCGTAAAAGTTGATCCGCAATCAGCTTGGATGTAAGGCGACTCACGTAGCCCAGGATGGTAATTGGGCGCCCGTCCGTAATGGCTGTGGGCGGATTGCGTTTGGCCAACAGAATCACTCTGGCTATTAGCTGGTGTGTAGAGAGCCCGAGGGGCCACAGGGTGCTAAGAACTTTAGCTAGGTCTACCACAGCGGCATGCGGAAGTGACTGGAGCTCCTCAGCTCTCCAACCATCAACACCCACTGCTTTAAAAGGCTTAAGGCGACGAATAGTATTTGCCAAAATCCCAGGATCATCCCAAGTAACCTGTAAAGGGGCACAGGGTGGGATACGATCACACAATGACTGAAGTAGGTCGGTCCACGGGTGGTCTGAGTCTTCTTCCATGGATGTATCACGGTTCCAATATTGTGACCAATACTCCGCAAAAGGGCCGGCTATTTCTGCAACCTCAAATGCATATACTTCCTGAATGATCTCGCCATGAGGCGGGACGACACCTTGCAAGACTTGACAAGAGAGGTGATTATCATGCTGTTCCATGATACGGAGAGTGGCGGCACCAAATCGAGCAGCTGCGAATAACCGGAACCGCACTGGTTGATGTATCATCAATGAAACTGGACCTTTGGAGGTTCGGCGGACTGTCGCTTGAGCACACTTGTGCACTGGAAACCCTGGCAAGACTCGAACTTCATTGGCTTTAAGACGTTTATAGTACTCTGACCCGGAGCGGTGCTGTATGTCTAATTCAAGACCATGTTTCATTGACTGTCGACGAAGCTTGGCTTCCTGAGTACAATAGAGGTCTGCATCATACTGTGTGATCTGTCGAACGCAGTAAAGTAAGTCAAAAGATGGAAGGTCAACGGTGACACATGTGATGGCGTCGAACTGCAGGAGCCAATGAACCCAAGAGTGACCGTAACCATTTGCCCTGCGGATTGCTTGCCATAAAAGAAGCAAATCTGGATACGATGGCAGAAATTGCCAGTGGTCACAGAGGAAATCTTCAAGGCGGTATTTTCTATAAAGTCTCTCTAAACACCGTAAGCGACGGACCTGGCGGACTTTCTGACGGCTTTTGACTGAAGTAACCTCAATGGGAGGTTCGTAAAGACCGGTGCTGTCTTTGCGCGGTGCACGAGATGGCAGAAGTCGGAGTGGTTTAGGACTTTTACAGCGGCCTCTAAAGTTCTTAGGCAGTGAACCCTGTGAGTAAACAAATGGATCCTTCGCCTGTTGCTGGCAGAGTGTACGATCGACCGCTTTTTCGACACAGGAAGACCATTGGATCAACTGTTGAACAGGGTCACGGCTAGTGTGAAAATGTGAGAATATGCGTGCTTTGGAATACTGCTCTTCAAAAATGTCATGTTGTACGGGGAACAATGTCCAGGATTTGGGCACATACCATGCAAAAGTATCGGAGGTGTTTGTCGGAATAGAAAGTTGAACTTGAGCAACGCAATGGTCTGCAAATTGATGTTCAGGACCAATGTCGATACGCTGTATATATTTTGTCAGATATGGATGAACTATCATGGAGTCAAACCTTGTCGCTCCTTTGCATGTTGGTGGCAGTTCAAAGCCAAAAGCTCGACGGTTGAAGTCAAACATTTCATGACATCCCAATTGAGAGAAGGTTGTATATGCATCAAGCTTACGAACATCCATATTGAAGT